GTGTGTGTGTGTGTGTGTGTGTGTGTGTGTGTGTTACAGTGGTGTTCCTGGAGAACGAGCTGATGTACGGCGTTGCCTTCGAGATGTCGGAGGAGTCACAGTCCAAAGACTTCACCATTCCCATCGGCAAGGCCAAAGTTGAGAGACAAGGTGAGACTGTCGGTGTCAAGACGCGCGACCAATGAAATGCATCGTTAATCGCTGTAATGACGTCTGAGTGTTAAATATAGAAAACACCAACTCCTGATATTAACACAACATTAGTGGATGGGAGAAAGATTTTCTGGACATTTTGGTTGAAATCTGCTAAAAGTTTTGATGGAAACTTGTTTCGTTGTTTCCAAACTCTTTTCTTCTCCCGTGTGTTTCAGGGACTCACGTCACATTGGTCTCTCACTCTCGGTACGTCAGCCACTGTCTCGACGCCGCTGCCGTCCTCGCCAAGGAGGGAATAGAGTGTGAGGTAGAGGAACAAAACGGATGATGGCTGACAGAGCTTACCTCAGCTCAGTGGTGCATTAACTACTTCCTCTGTGTGTGTCTGTCAGGTGATCAACATGCGGACCATCCGCCCTATGGATGTCGATAGTATTGAGACCAGTGTGATGAAGACTAACCATCTGGTGACAGTGGAAGGCGGCTGGCCTCAGTTCGGCGTCGGAGCTGAGATCTGTGCCAGGATCATGGAAGGTGATCATTATCCCACACCTGTGTTCTGATCAGTCAGTGGACTTTAAACCTGGACATCTCGTTTTAAACAACCTATGAAACTGATATTTGTACTACTCCTCAGTATTTGTACTTGTTTACGTGTGTCTGGTAAAAACTTGGAGGGGATTGTCACAGATGTTGACGGCCGTTTAACAATCACAACACTCACCCCCACCTTTGTGTACGCCTGCAGATTTAACACTGGGAACCTGTATTTTGTCTTCTAACCCCCTGTGCATGTTTGCAGGTCCAGCTTTCAACTACCTTGACGCTCCAGTCACCAGAGTGACGGGAGTCGACATCCCGATGCCCTACGCCAAAATCCTAGAGGACAACAGTCTGCCGCAGATCAAAGACATCATCGTCTCTGTGAAAAAGACCCTCAACATCTGAGACACACACACACACACACACACAC